ATCTTGTTTTACTTTCTTTACTTTATTGAACTTTCTTTATACTTTTATATGCCTTAGATTGCAATTGATATTAAATCTGCAAAGCGAGAATTAAAGAAGGCAAGAACTGTCCTACAAATGGATGAGCTCAAATGTCGCAAACGTGTTTTAAGGAGGTTGGGATTTGCTACTTCTTCTGATGTCATAGAGATGAAAGGACGAGTGGCTTGTGAGATAAGCAGGTAAAACTGGTTGTTATAGAAAACTGATTTTAAAATGAGATACTGTTTTTATACAAGAGCTATAAATCTTTTGGGAAAAAAAAAGAGCTGTCTTAAAAATAAAAAGTTTGTGGGGTGCCTGGGTGGCTCATTCAGTTAAGTGTCTGCCTTTGGCTCAGGTTATGATCTCAGAGTCCTTGGATCGAGCCTTGCATCAGGCTCCCTGCTCAGCGAGGAGCCTGCTTCTCTTTCTTCCTCTGCCTACCACTCCCCCTGCTTGTGCTCTCTCTCTCTCAAGTAAATAAATAAAATCTTAAAAAATAAAAAAATTAAAAGTTTGTAAAATACCTTCCATAGTAAGTGCAGTTTTTGATGATGAAATTAGAAAAAGAGCATTAAAAAAATCTCTTCCATCCCACTATTTAATACAATGCTATTAGCATTCTGATATATTTCCTTTTTTTTTTTTAATGCATTGCATATTTCTACATATTCATGATCTTAGTTTATACAGTTTTGTATACTTAATTCTTTTTTACAATTTTGAACATTTTCCCACCTTAAACTTAGTCTAATAACCATTATCCTATTGTATAAGAGATATTATTAAAGTTTTGGGCTAAGAAACAGGGAATTACAGCATAGCATATTATAGGCCACGGCATAAAACTGGATAAAGATATTGTCTATTTTGGTGATCTTCTGACATACTGCAAATGACCTTAAAACTAAATGACTTGAAACCATAGCAGTTATTTCATTCTTTCTGGTGGTTTCTGTGGGTCAGAAATTCAGGAAGGGCCTCTTGAATGGTTCTGGCTCAAGATTCCATGTGATTTCCATTAGCCTGAAGATACTCTTGTTTTGTCCATAGTTGTTAACCATTATACTCATTGAGTCCATAAAAGATGTTTTGCAGCAGTTTCTTGTGTTTTCACCATGGCCCTAATGGATGGGGCTGGAGAATTACAGCCTTTGTGTATGGTTTCAGATGTTTCTGGGGAAGATGTATTCATATTATTCTTATTGATTGTTTAGTTCAGATGTTAAGAACTCATGTCTGGCGGGGCCAGGAGGAGATTGTGTGGTAAACTAGAACAATTCTTGGTCACCAAAAGGGGGCAGCAACTACTCAGCCCCAATTATTACAGAACGATGTGATAACAGATTTTTCAACTTAGAAAAGCCAAAAATCCAGAATTTTAGGTGAAATACCTTGGTTTTTAATTGTTCACAAATCAGTTGAGAATTATTTTTTTAGTCACTGTGTGAACCAAATACATCATTTGTTCAAGTTAGATTTGGCATGTCAGCTTCTTGTTTTCCTTAAACCTGCTTTCCTACTTTGTAATTAAAGAATTGTAGGCACCATAGGTTAATAATTTACCCAGGTCTAAAGCTAAGCCATAGCACTGGTTTACTAATTCATAAGCCAGAATTAATGTTATTGGAATTATTTCTTTGTAATATTATATAGTATTTAACAATTAACATAGAAAATTTCTTTTGGGTATCTGCAGCTGGATTTAGTCCTGGGAGAATAGTATTGATTTTACTCTAAAATAAGACTAGAGAGAGAGAGAGAGAACAGTATCACATATGAAAGTACGTTACTTTTCCCCCAGTATTTGCTTCTCCCTCTGGTCTCTTTCTTGCTGAATAAGACCCAGCCACTAACGACAGAAACTTGGGAGTCATCCTAGATTCCTCTCCCTTCTTCTCTCTCTTCCCATCTTCCTGAGTGTTTCCTCTATCTCTGCCCACTAATGTGCCTTCATTATTTCTTGCTTTGAGTACTGCAGAAGCCCTGATTTTTGTTGCCTCCTATCTTGAGTCTTTATAATCCATCCATTATACTGCTTTCCCAGTGTTCTTTCCAAAGCACAGAGCCTATCATTTCATTCTTTTGGTGAAAGTCTCTCAGTTATTCCCTATTGCTTTTAGAATAAATGCCATAATTTAGTGTGTTGTTGCCTTTCCTCTCTAGCCACATCCCACACATATTTCTTTATCTTAGCATGACCTTTCCCTCACTCCTACCCCAAATCCCAATTCCTACATATTTTTTCCTCCATCTTATGAAACTTGCTGTGAATTTCTCCAATCTTATTTTAAGCTCCTCAACTTTTTTTGCATAATTGCCTGTATAACCTGTTAGATCACTCTCCTGTGATTACTGTTTCTTGTCTGCCACCCACCTTAGTGGCATGTATGTAGTAATACGCAGCGCTTGTATTGTCCTCTTTGTTTGACTTAATTCTCATTTGACTATCAGGAACCCAAATTTAGTTTTTTTACTTTATTTTTGATTAGTTAGAACTATTTATAAAGATTGATAGTTCATGACTTTATTTTTTTAGAAGTCAAAAAATAGGTTTGCTTGTTTTTGGTTGTTTTTTTTTAAATTGAGGTAACGCCCTCAAAATTACCGAATGGGTATATTAAACCCTTTTATAGATGTAAGATACGTTGTGGAACCTTGATTACAGAATTGTAGAAACACTATCTTTGTAGTCTTTTATAGCTTCCATTGAGCACAGTTGAGCATTCACATTTTTTTGTTTTCCACCCATGATGGCAAAGAGAAAACAGGAAATATATTTTGCAATTATTACACAAATCAGAACATAAGTGATGATGGTAAATTTAATCGCATAGCAAAATCTTAGACTGTAGGTAAATTCTCAAACTGAAGAATCAATGAGTGAATAATGTATCTCTAAGGACAAAAAAATTTTTTTAAGATTCTTATTTATTTTACTTTCCTTTCTGTTTAGTAAGCAGGAGTTATGTAATGTTTTGTGCTAAGAACTTGGACCATTCCATTTTACTAAAAGGATTTGTGACAATAGTCTTTTACCTTTTATGATTTGTTTGCTAAATTGTCCTTGATAGTTTTTAAGTGGTCAAATACTAAAGACAGTTGTAAATACAAGGAAATTGTTAAGAGGGAGAGATAAAAAAAATCTGTTGGATTGATCATTCTAATCTTTATAATATAAACCTGAATATGAAAATGTTGCACAGTTAAAGAGCAAAGAGGATGGCCTTCCTCTTCAACAAAATTACAACTTGTGAAAGTTTTAAAAAATAATATATTCTGGTGATTCAAAAGAGGAACCAAAAATAATAAGCTAGAGTCTTTTTTTTTTTTTTTGAAGATTTTATTTATTTATTTGACAGAGACAAAGGGAGAGAGGGAACACAAGCAGGGGGCAGTGGGAGAGGGAGAAGCAGGCTTCCCGCATAGCAAGGAGCCTGATGCGGGGCTCGATCCCAGGACCCTGGAATCATGACCTGAGCCAAAGGCAGACACTTAACAGCTGAGCCACCCAGCTAGAGTCTTTAAAAGAGATGATTTAAAATCTGCAGTCAATAGTATGCTTTGATAATGCTAAGTGCAGGAGAAAAACAGAAGTAATGATAAGCTAGTACCTATTGGAGATGTATTTGAAATTTGGAATTGTATTTACTACGTGGATATTGTCCAGATTCACAAATGACAGTTGATGAGCAGCAGTTAGTTGCATTTAAAGGCCATTGGCCATCTTGGTTATATATGTTCTCAACACTGGGAATGCAATGTGTGTCTCCTATGGTTACATTGTAATTATTAAGATTTCTAATGAAATTGTTTTTCATTATCCCTTTGTGTTATAAATTGTTAAACAACTTAAAAACAATTAAATGGATCCTTGGACCAAGAGGAAAAATGGTGATGACTGTCTTTCCTGGTATACTGAGAGTTAAGAAAGAGTTCTTTATTTCAGTAAATGTTTGCATTTTGGTGTTTCCTAGAATGGGATTTTTACATGAAATAACCATCTTATATTTATTATTGATATATTGGAAAATATGAAGACCTGCCATATTCTTTTCTTTTTTTTTTTTTTTTTTAAGATTTTGTTTATTTATTTGACAGAGAGACACAGTGAGAGAGGGAACACAGCAGGGGGAGTGGGAGAGGGAGAAGCAGGCTTCCTGCGAAGCAGGGAGCCCGGTGCCAGGCTCAATCCCAGGACAGTGGGATCATGACCTGAGCCGAAGGCAAACACTTGACTGACTGAGCCACTCAGGCGCCCCAGACCTGCCATTTTCTTAAGTAAATCTTTGTCGTTCCTCATTGATCACTCCTTATGGTCAAATAATGGATTTTATTTAAAAACTTTCTACATTTTAAGCATTATGTATACATTTTTTATTTTTATATTACAACATTTGAAAATTATTCTTTTTTTTTTGTGGTGATCTAGTGCTGATGAGCTCCTTCTAACTGAGATGATGTTTAATGGCCTTTTCAACGACCTCTCTGCAGAACAGGCAACGGCACTACTAAGCTGCTTTGTGTTTCAAGAGAATGTGAGTTAATAGATTTAACATACCTTAATGATTAATTCACACATCCTGTAACTTAATTTTAATATTATTATGGATATTTTAAATTATAAAAATGTTCCATATTTACATATTATGGGCAATGTTAATTAGAAATCAACACTAACACAAATATAGTAAGAGAGTATTAAATAATACATATTATCAGAAAGGAGAGTGAAATAAGATCTTATTTTTGGATAGTCATTAATCATATTCCAAGCCTTAAGTTTGTTCTGTAACCCAGTGCATTGTTTGAAGATCTGGTCTGGTCAGATAGTCCTAGAAAGAAAAGGATGAATGAATGAAAATAAAATTAGGCAAAAGAGTGAAAATAAAAGGGGGGATAGTGAGGTTAAATTAATACCTCTCCTCCCAGTAATGGAGAACAACTATGAAGCAACTGATTTTCTGAGTGGCTGAAGTCTTAGTTGTCATAGGTAAGGTTTGAGGTAGTGGCTATAGGATTCTCATTTTTGGTTTTGCAGTAATTTTTCCATTGAGTGGTTTGTTCACTTTCAGCAACTCTTAAAAATCAAAAAATGAAGTGCTGGATGGCCCACCACAAAAACACTAATCTGTCTTTTACTTTTTTCCCAAAACCAGTATGATTTGCTTTAAAAAGTAAAATGCATGTTTTACATTTCGAACTTTATTCATTGTGGATGAAGTGGACAAAATAACAATAAGACAAAGACATTTGCCCTCTAAAAATAATACTAATTTCTAAATTTTTAGAAGACCTTTTACCATGTATACTTAATTTAACGTTCAAATGAATTGTGTGTAAGACAGACGGTTTTTGCAGTTCTGCCATTGATCGACTTATTAACTATTTCCTTCTTTATGAAGCAGGTCAAATACATTCATTACTTGTTGAAATAAGTAGGTCCTTTTCTCTCAGCGACCTGATTACTGATTAGAATTAGAGCTAGAGGGCGCCTGGGTGGCTCAGTTGGTTAAGCGACTGCCTTCGGCTCAGGTCATGATCCCAGGGTCCTGGGATCGAGTCCCACATCGGGCTCCCGGCTCAGCGGGAAGCCTGCTTCTCCCTCTCCCACTCCCCCTGCTTGTGTTCCTGCTCTCGCTGTCTCTGTCTCTGTCAAATAAATAAATAAAATCTTTAAAAAAAAAAAAAAAAAAGAATTAGAGCTAGAGTGGCAGTGATAACAAAGAGGACAATAATCCCAAAACAGTTTATACTCCTGAGAATGCCTGCTCTGCACCTGTGAAGTAATTGCAGATGAGGAATTCATTACTTTACAAAATACTCTGTTTGGCTGTTGTTTTTCTTAGGTTCAGAATTTTATTACAGTAATTTCTGGGGTAGTTGTTAAGAATATTTGTCCAATTCTGTTTGAAAAGACCTAAGTTTGAAGATGATTTGGGGATTGGTGCTCTTCTGCCTGTGTCATACTTTGTCTTATAGCTAATTTCTTGCATTTGTTGTTTTTTTGTTGTTTTGTTGTTTTTAATGTGGCACTATAAAAATCCTCTGTTTTCTGAGCGCCCAAGTATGTTACCTCTTCAAAGGAGTTGGGCTTCGCCAAACCATTATTCTGAAATTTGTGGGCAAGATGTCACTATATGTGGTTAATTAAGATTTGTTCAGTGAAACCACACTGTTATATGTAGTGTCATCAATTCTTGTGGTGGTGCCTTTCAACAGCAAGATGGAAAATTACACTACAAGTCACATGGAATTTTGTTGATACTTTTAGAAGAATGTTTTCTAGCCAGATGGAAAGGTTAAACATAGTAAGGTACTTGTTATAAATATGAAAAAGTCTGCTTAATATACTAACTTCTTTTTAGAAATGTGTTTTCTAAAACTGCGTCCCTGCATTTTTTATGTCGTTAAAAGTAATTTTAAAGATGAAATACAATCTTTAGAATACAAATATCAAGTAACTACCAATATTTGTTAAAATCTGTGTGCACTGCCCAGATCTAGGCACTTGAAATAACAGAAATTTTTGCTTTCCTGGTATTTATATGCTAGTAGATGAAGGTAAACAATAAAGAAGTAAAGTACACACAGATTATGTCAAATGGTGTTGAAGGTTTGGAGGAAAGTGAAGCAGGGGAGGCAGATAGAAAACACTGGGATAGGGTTACTATTTTAAATAAGGTGATTAGTAAAGGCCTCACCAAGAGAGTAAAATTTGAATTGAGACTTAAAAGGAGAGATGAAGGAATAAATTGTACATACACTTGGTAGGAGAGCATTGGTGAAATCCCACTTAGGTTTCTCTTGTCAGGACCAGTGTCTTCTACTTACATTGACCAGAGAGGAAGTGGTCAGTAACTGTTGACCATGAATGGACACAATATCAAAGATGTTAAGTAGTCTTGAGTTCACAAATGGAGATGTTGAGTTCATTGTGGCCATTTTGTTTTTTCATCATTCATCATGGTTTTTCTTTTTTTTTTTTTTTTTAATTTGGTCAGGAATAATACAGAACCTAGGTCATTATTTTATTACATAATAGACATAAAACATGCACAGCAAAACCAGTTCTTTATAAATACTGATGCTTAAAATAAAGGCATAACGGTTGCACCTAAACTTATAATAGCTTTTTAAGAAAATTTACCTATAATTTAAATCCTGTCTCACACATACATATATACCATTTTTGTAATAATTTTGTTTTTGTGAAAGGCTGCCTTTGTCAGACTTTGTTCACAAATAACTGTTTTTATTCTAATCACGATAGAATAGGGTTTTGAGGATCTGACCTTTTCTTTCTCTTTGACAAGGTAGGAAACCAACACACAGAATCCAAGCCACTTGTCCAAGTTCATTTGCCCAGTTAGTAATACCTGGGTAAAATAAAAATTGAGGACACTACTTTTAATGTTCTTTATCCCAGATTTTTGGTTTCCACAGAATGAGAGTTGAATAGGAGCCAAAACTATTTTAAAATCAAACTGTGATAAAACAGTTTATAATCATTTTGATGTAAGTAAACTACTATGGGTGTTGATAATATTTGCTCTCCCTCCATTCCATTGTGGTCACAGAAAATAGCTGGTAAATTGTAAATTTAGGAGTGTAATATTTTCCTCTGAAATACAATAATAATATAATTTAGGATGAAAGGAGTGGTAATTTTGCTTATACCAGCTAATGTCGTTAGAAACTCTAAATGCTAATAACTAAGATCTTATAATTTGATATTGATGGATATCATGAAGGCTTTGTTTTGTTACAGCAGAAAGCATTTTAAACTTGGGTTTTTACATCCTTTTCTTTCATAGTCTAGTGAGATGCCCAAATTAACAGAGCAGTTAGCAGGACCACTTCGTCAAATGCAGGTAGGAGTATTTTGAACTGCATGTTTTATGAATAGTATATGTAAAATGAACATTTTTGACAGTCTAATCCTAGTATGTATCATTCCACAGAGACCACTTCCTTCAAGATTAAATATGTTATTTGGTGTTAGTCTTGTCATTTAATGCTATGTTGATAACATCACTTGGGATTTTTACTTGAATAAACATTCTCCCCCACCAGTGTAATAAATTGTATTGAGTTACTGTGCGTGTAGATTTAACACTACATAATGTAACTAGGCAATATCAACAACTCAGTGCCTGCATTGTTTTCCTTGATATTAAGAATGGCAACTTGATGGACTAGGATTAGTTAGCTTTATTTTTTGTATGTTTTTCCATTGTAGTTTACAACAAAGTTTTAAAATATGTTTTATCCTAAGAAATTAATTATCCCTGGGCCCTTAAAACCCCAGTAGCTTATAGTAATGAATTTGTGTGTTTTATGATTTTCTTATGATGAACTGATTTTATCTACCTTTTAACATTAGAAAGACAGGGAAAGATGAACTATATGATATTACAAAAGAGGAGAAGTGATTCATAAAAAGAGCCTCTTAAGTGGAAAATTTAATATCCCTTATTACTAAGAAATTTAAATTTCTAGAACTAGGGAAGTTTATGTAGGACTAGATGGTTTTGACCTTTTATATTACCGAGGAGAAAAGAATGAATCTGAATATCTCACTGTGGGGGAAAAAAATTAAGGTTTATATTTTTTAAAGCATTATTTTGCCATAGGATTTGTGTTTTTCTAAATCTGTTTTGTTATTGATGTCTTTGGGGGGTTTTTGGGGGTTGCTATTAATGAAATACTTAAAGATTAAATGCTACTCTTGAATGACTTTAATGAAGAGTTTCTGTTTTTTATTAAAAAAAGGTTTAATTGGGTGAAAATCACGCTCTTGATAAATTTTTCTTAATTCAGTGTAATGGGGAAATGTTACAGTTGGATCACTTAGCAGTGGAAAAGACACTGTAGCTACTTAGAAGCACAGAGTATCCAAACTGTGGGCATAAGAACCTAGGAAAAAAGGACCTTGTGGAATTCTGGCTCTGGAAACCTAAGAAACCTAAAGAAAAAAAGTACATGGAAGATCGTAAGTAAGAAATTTTAAGTAAATCTTTTTGTCTTCAAAGGAATGTGCTAAAAGAATTGCAAAAGTTTCAGCAGAAGCCAAACTGGAAATTGATGAGGAAACTTACCTAAGCTCATTCAAACCTCACTTAATGGATGTAGTATATACCTGGGCAACTGGAGCTACATTTGCCCATATCTGCAAAATGACAGATGTCTTTGAAGGTATGTTTAAATTCTGTATACATACATTCCTTTTTGATATATAAGAAATATACTCAGGATGGCATTGTTTTAACTAAATAAGAATAATATGTTATTTTTAATTTTTGGTAATAAAATGGAATGGTGGGGCGCCTGGGTGGCTCAGGTGGTTAAGCGTCTGCCTTCGGCTCAGTTCATGATCCCAGGGTCCTGGGATCGAGTCCCACTTCGGGCTTCCTGCTCAGCAGGGAGCCTGCTTCTCTCTCTGCCTCTCTCTCTCTCTCTCTCTGTCTCTTATGAATAAATAAATACAATCTTTAAAAAAATGGAACAGATGATCCTAGTAAGTCAGGTTCATGTGAGGTTTTTTTTTTTTTTTAATCTCTTGACAGTAATCTAAAGGCTTGTTATATTAATTCCACTAAAAGACAGCAGAGCTGGGGCGCCTGGGTGGCTCATTCATTAAGTGTCTGTCTGCCTTTGGCTCAGGTCATGATCCTAGGGTCCTGGGATCGAGCCCCGCATCGGTCTGCCTGCTTGGCGGAGAGCCTACTTCTCCCTCTGCCACTCCCCCTGCTTGTGTTCCCTCTCTCGTTATCTCTCTCTCCATCAAATAAATAAATAAAATCTTTAAAAAAAAAAAAAAAAAGACAGCAGAGCTGAAAATGCTGTCCATCATTGCATTTCTAATAATAGACTTGGCCTCAGTGAGATGGTACTTCAGCATGAATCAGATTAATGAGCAGTCTTTTTTTTTTTTTTTTTTAAAGATTTCATTTATTTATTTGACAGAGAGAGAGACAGCGAGAGAGGGAACACAAGCAGGGGGAGTGGGAGAGGGAGAAGCAGGCTTCCCGCAGAGCAGGGAGCCCGATGCGGGGCTCGATCCCAGGACCCTGGGACCATGACCTGAGCTGAAGGCAGACGCTTAATGACGGAGCTACCCAGGCGCCCCGTGAGCAGTCTTTTAAAATGTCTTTAAAAGACTGAAGAATAATTGTTACTCAACTGAACAGAAATTTTAAGTGAAAAAGTAAAGGCAGAGGGAATATAAAAGAAATAATAATTACAAGAAGCAAAAACACAGTATCTAAGGGAGACCATTTTAGAAATGTTTTACTCATTTCAAAAAGATTGGCTTATATAGGTATTTATAATGGTGAATGATATTTACCAAATTAGATATTTACATTGAACTTTGTAAAAATGAAAGTAAATGAGCTTGGACTTCATAGAGATTATTATAAGAATATTTAAAATGCTATTGTTTGTAGCTCTGTTTTAAGAAAAATTGTATTTTTGACACATCTGATATATGCTTTTTAACTGATATTATTAAAGACTGAGAGTTTACTGAGTTTATGAATCATGGATTTTTATGATGCATAGGTCAAACATCTGCCACAGAATATTGAAATTTTCAACTATGAGCCTTTACTATATTGAACTTCATGGGTTTTAAGGTTTAAAATGTTAAAAGTTTATAGTGTATTTTTTTTATGATAGTGTCCTATATATAGTGTTATGAAATTTATTTCTAAGCCTCCATTAAATGATCATTTAGTAATATGGTTCCAAAATCTTGCTCTGAGTACTGCATTCTCTTACTGGGACCATCATTATTTATTAAGTGACTACTGTGTGCCAGGCATTGTGCTAAGCACTTTATAGAATTTAGATCTCATCACCAAAATGGCAACTCAGGATAGATACTGTTTCTACTTGGCACAAGGAAGCTGAGTTTTTTTAAGTAAATAATTTGCCGAAGGTCATAGAGGTGTGGTATATGATGGCACTATGATTTGAACCCTGGCCTCTGTGATTACAAGTCACATGGTAATTAATAACTTCATCTAAGCACCATAATGCCTTATCCTTGAATTTTGGATCACCTAGAGACTTCTTAAATCCTGACCTAGATCGTACCATCTCCATCCACTGACAGTTCATGCTTGTAGGCATAGTAAGGAGATCTGTAATAGTTCACGGTGGGGAGCGATAGCTGAGGATAGGAGAAGAGCAACCTCGCTTGTGAACACTGCTTCACATTCAGGAACCTAGGTACGTGTAGGACTGCTTGTGTGGTGTGAAGCTGCAAAGGCAGTCATACAGCACCACCACTCTTCAATCTGGCATCTTTTTGGAACATAAGGATGAAACGTACGTTCTCTGCCTGTTCTGTGCCTAATTGTTGCGGAAAAATAATCAGACCGGTGAGAGGCCAAGTGACACTCGGAGAAGTAGGAGAAATCGGATTTATTTTACGCGAGCGGCCCCAGATGAGCTCATGCTCGAAGTTCTGGGCCCCGGGGAAACGGGGTTATAGGGCTTTTATAGGGGACTGCGGGCAGTCAGGTTCCAAGGGCTGTGCTGACTGCTGGTCAGTGGGTTTGAACTGGGGGAGTGGGGCTGCTTTAGGTGGGGATAGTAGTGCCGGGAGTCGGTGGCGGGAAGCCTGTTTACAGAAGCAGAAACGGCTGGTTATCTCTTGCTCCCAGTAGGGCTTCTGGTTTTCTCTAGCTTATTGTTCGTAACTTCCCGTCTTCTGGGGTCTCCTGGCCTGGGCCTGCTCTGGGTAATTTTCCTCTTCATAATGACTGTTCTGTGCCTAAATAATGCTAAGACTTGTTAATAGCTCATATTTATGGAGTCTCTGCTTCTCTGAGAAGTCAGACACATGACATAATAGTGGTTGATAGCAAAGAGTAGTTTGTTTTGTTTGTTTGAAGAAAAATCAAGGGGCAACAGGCCTGCACATCTAGGGCGCTCTATAAAAACTGTCCTTGTGGACTGTTTTTTCGGTTCTTTGTACTTGAATGGAAGAGTTATGACAGTATAGGAAGACAGATTTGAAACTGTTAAAATTGATGAGAGTGTGCAGTTTTCCAGAACATACTGGCATTCCTGAAATCTGTTTTGCCCCGTTTCAGTTCCTTGGGGCTGTTTCTACATCACAGTTTGCATGAGGAATCAAAAGTTTGAAAATCTGATGATTTCCGTTTGTAACTAAACTTGAATTTGGGTCTAACATCAGCATAATCTTTATGTTTTTCTGGTCTGGGTGCCATTGTATCAGCTTTACTTTTCCTTTCTAAAATTGCGATGGACTATATATTAACTCTTAGAAATAAAGCATAATTAAACAGCAAAAAAATAACTGAGAACCTTGATTTACTTAGCAGAGTATTTCCTTTTTCCAGTGTACTGTGTGCCCCCCTTTTTACCCTGCTGCTGTTTAGTTTTTCCATTTCAGAATAGCCGTTCTCTCTTCATCTTGTTATTGTACATGCTTTATATAATTGGAAAAATACTGTAATTAAAACTCTAGCCCATAGTACATTGTGTCTTTACTTTTATGGCCAGAAAATGATTGCATGGGAACTTTAAAATGCCCTTCACTCAAACCATATTTGTTTCCAGTTAGATTCTTAATTTTCTTTTTATATGAAAATAAGTGATCATTTCATATCATGAGCCTCAGAAGTGGTTTTAAGTATTTTTCAAACATCAACTGGCACAAGTTAACATTGTAATGATGAATACCGTGTGTCTGAGAGGATGCCTAATGCGAGAGAAGAGCTTATACTGTGATTCAGTTGAGGAATTTTGAAGACTTCATACAAATAATTATTTCCTCTGTTATCACCCTGGAAAAAAATGGTAAGAATGTGGTTGTTTCTTATTTCTATCATACTAAATTGGAAAAGCAATTTAAAGTATTTGTATTTGTAGAGGCTCAAGCCTAGGGTTTCAGTCTACTAATCCATGTGGTAGATCCATTGTAAGCTTTCAGAGGCTGTTAAATTTTCTTTCTTTCTAAACAACAACAGCATTGTAGTCTTCACTACACATGAAGGACTTGGTTTTCTACTTACTTAGTCACAGGAGTTCTCCTAATGATGACCTGTGCTCTCACTCAAAACTGTTCACCAGGTAGTGCGTTCCCACACTCTGCCTCCACTCACACTCTTCTCAGTTGCCTTTCAGCTGGCATAGTTTTACCCTTCTCCAGGTCAGGGGACATCAGTGTCATTAGGGATTTTCCAGTGGATTTGTTCTTAGAAATACTTTTGCTAATAATAATAGAGTAACCGTTTATTAACATGTATCATTTCTGTTTCCCTTTCGGTAAAATTTTAGTATTAAATTACTTAGAAATTAGTACTTGAACTTAAACATTTGATGAATAATGACTGAGACCATAGTGGGAATTAGGTACTGGGTGCATCATGAGCACCAGTCTCTGCCCTCCAGAAAGGGGTTAGCCTAAGCTGGGATCTAGTGGTAAATATTTGCGGGAAAATATATTTGTGATCCTGACCTTTCAAACTCATTAAAACCACCTAGATAGGAATATTAAATCAGATTCAGGACATGAACTATGGGGGACCACTTTGTGGAATGCCAGAAAGCTGGAGGTAGAAACACTGTTTAGAGAAAGGTGTTGCTTTCCATCCTCAATGAGCTTAATACTGTTCTGTTCAAGAACCAGATTAATCTGATGATTGCATGTGTCCATCAGTGGATGAATAAATTGTGGTGTATCAGCATAATGTAGTCTTCAGCCATAAAAAGGAATGAAATCCTGATTAATGCTAAAATTTGGATGAAACTTGAACACATTAAGGTTCTAAGTAAAAAAAGGCAGACACAGAGGCAACCTGTTGTATAATTCCATTTATATGAAATGTCTGGAATAGGCAAAGCCATAGAGACAAAGTAGATTAATGGTTGTCCCATGGGCCAGGGGCTAGAGTAGGAAGCGAAATTGAATTCTGACTAATCACTGCCTTTTTTTTTTTTAATTGTGACAAAATATATATAACATAAAATTCGCCATTTTAAATGTCCAGTTCAGTGTCACTGATCTTTTTCACCTCAGGTTTACATCACCATTCTGGAAGAACTCACATTGAGATATAATTCACAGAGCATAAAATCCATCCTTCTAGTTGTACTATTCAGCGGTTTTTAGTGTATTCAGAGTTGTACAACCATAATCACAATCTAATTTTAAAATATTTTTATCAACCACAAAGAAGTCACTCCTAATACAGTCCCTCACATAGTAAATGGCACAGCTGAAATGTAATCCCCGGTCTGTCCACTTGCAGAGACAATGGACATGGAGTGTCAAGCATCTACAGCAGCTCTGCCCCCAGCTTTGTAGGTGATCACTCATGCATCACAGGAAAGGGGGAAACCACTAGGCCTCCTGTCTTCTTTATCTAGAAACTCATGTGCCTATATCCTTTATTCTTTCTTCTTCAGAGGATGGACCCTTCTGCATTGTTATGAACCTCAGGGCCTTGCTCCACTCTTTTCTGCACCCTCCTCAATCTTGCCATTTTAGGATATAAATAGGCATATAGTTTTCATCCACACCTTTTTCAACTACAAATATTACCGAGTGGTTAAGAGCAAGAGCACAAATCCTGGGCATAACTCCTACTCAGTAGAATGACCCTGGGCAAGTTACTTAACTATGCCTCAGTTTCTTTGGCTATAAAATGAGTGTAATAGCTCCTTCCTCATAGTGTGAGGATAACATGATGCATAGAGAGCCTTTAGCACAGTTAGCCTGGCACACAGCATTCAATAAATGGGGAGCTGCTGCTGTCAGTTTTTCGTGACAGGTTTTTGTTGTCGTCACCCTCAATCCCTCATTCCTTTTACAGCCAGACTCAGAATAGACCATCTTCAGTTCCTTATCCCCCATCTCCATCTTGATCCACAGTAATGTGTTATCTTATTTTGCTGAAATTACGATGAGAATCACTTCTCAGCCTTTTGGCTAAAGATCAAGTGAAATTACGAGAAGACACCAGTGACTTTGCCAAATTCAGAAAACAGACCCCTTTATTTGGATTCTACTTGCCAGTTTTTACTGCTTACTACTTCTAGAAACTCATTAATAGAAATTCTTTGGCACTACCTGGCAATGAAGATTTTTACAGAAGTGAAGAGCTTTAGAGTAAGGCCTAAAAAACTTATAAAATATTGGGGGATCTAGCTGGCTCAGTGGGTTAAGCAGCTGACTCTTGATTTCGGCTCAGGTCACGATCTCAGGGTCCTGGGATCGAGCCCCACGTTGGGTTCCGTGCTCAGTAGGAAGTCTGCTTGAGCATTCTCTCTTTCTGTCTCCCTTTGCCCCTCCCCCCACTTGCACATGCATGCTCTCAAACCTTTTTTTTTTTTAAGTTTTTAATTTTTTTATCGTTATGTTAATCACCATACATTACATCATTAGTTTTTGATGTAGTGTTCCATGATTCATTGTTTGTGCATAACACCCAGTGCTCCATGCAGAACGTGCCCTCCTTAATACCCATCACCAGGCTAACCCATCCTCCCACCCCCCTCCCCTCTAGAACCTTCAGTTTGTTTTTCAGAGTCCATCGTCTCTCATGGTTTGTCTTGCTCTCAAACCTTTTTAAAAACTTATATTTACAGTTTTTAAGTGTATAAACTAAATTTAATGATAAATTGAAATTTGTAAAGTAATACACATTTTTTTAAAAGATTTTATTTATTTATTTGGCAGAGGCACAGCGAGAGAGGGAACACAAGCAGGGGGAGTGGGAGAGGGAGAAGCAGGCTTCCCGTGGAGCAGGGAGCCCGATGCGGGGCTCGATCCCAGCATCCTGGGACCATTACCTGAGCCAAAGGCAGACATTTAACAACTGAGCCACCCAAGCACCCCAGTAATACACATTTATTATAGAAAATTTAGAAAATAGAGATATATCATTTCTGTGAGGCACTATGATAATTGTTAAATGCGTGGGCTCTAGAATCTTCGGTCTGGATTCAAATCCTGACTCCATCATTTACTCCTGGCTCTGACCTTGGTAAAGTTATGTATGCAACTTCCATTTCTCCTTTTCCCTCTCTGTAAAATGAGGATGACAATACTTGTCAGATTGTAAATGTGAAATGAGAAGTTTTACATGAAATATGTATTACAGATCTACCACAAAATAAGTGCTCAGAAAATGTTGGACATCACCCTTTTTTCTTGAAACACATTCAGCCTAATTTCTCCTTTCTTTGATGCCTAAATATCACTAGGAACATCGGTAACTTTACTCTCCAGTAATACAAGAAAGTACTCAGGGTTATTGTAAAATGTGTATATATGTGATTGGATTTTACAGAATTTATGTCTCTGTTTTGGTTGCCATTTTGCTGTTGACTCTTACGAAGTCCTTTGCTGGGTGCTAAATAACTTTGACAGAGTTGTGTAGTGGAAATAGGCTGTATTTGGGGCTGGAGTTTTCTCCCAGAACTCCATGAACCTTTTAATGAGAGGAGGACCAAAAAAAAACCTATGGACTTTGAATATTTTGGCTAAAGGGCTATATCATGACATTTTACATTCCTGCAGAGTTTTGCCAATGTCAAAGAATTTGTATATTTCTTATCTCAAGAGACCAAATCTAAAGTAGGTGAACATCCTACATGTAGGAGATGAAAGGGTATTATCCCCATTTGTCTTTCAAGGTAACCTGTATGCTGGTCATTTTCATTACCAGTGACATCGCACACACCTCCCAGAATGTGAAGTAGCATCGTTGTGTTTTCATTGTTTTGGCCCATTGGTGGGTTCAGCAACCAGCAATGTTGTCCTTAGGGGTGCAGGCCCTTGTGCAGTAATTTATCTTTGGCTCTTGGAATTGTCCCACAGAGAGGGAAGGCTCTCTACATGTGCATGGGCACTTGCTCCTGGATTATGTGGACTCTATTGGGCAAATGGCTTTTATTTTTGCCTTCATTTAAGCTAAAAGTACATTCTCCTTCCTGAGTTAACTCTCCCCGGTTTCCCCCAACCACTGGGCACAGTGGAAAAGAACATGGAGGGCATTAAGAGAAAACTGTGCACAGTGAGTGTATTACAAAACTTGATAAATGCTGATGGATTAGTTCAGTGTTCTAAGGAATTAATAATGGTAAGGACTTAGAGGAGTTCATACCTTGCATATCAGACAGAACTGTTATTTCTAATGTATTTCACACATTAAAGTCCCAAGAGTTTTAAACTTAAGTAGATAGGTCTTTGAGAAAGGATCCCAGGCCCCTCCCTTGCTCAAATGTGGTGGAAGTCAAATGATGTTTATAGCTTCAGCAAAGAAACAAACAAAAAACAAACAAACAAAAAAACACCCCACTGATCTCAGGGAGTCACATCCAGTGGGAAGAGACTTACCTCCTCCTTTGTGCTCCTTTGAGGACACACTGTATGAAAAAAGCACTGATAAAAAGTCTACTTAAGGTCAAGAAAAATGAATGATTGCACCTTTAAAATGACAAATCTGATTCTGTTACTTGTCCCCTGCTTAAAAATCTCTAGTTGCATTCTCTTCACAGGATGGTATCCAGATATCTCATTAGGCCACCCTCAGAGTCCTTGAGTAGCTGCCCTTTGTCACACTTCTCTGCATTGCCCAAGTGGTCTTCCTTTGTTGCTGACAGAGACCTCCTCATTCTTACAGACCCAGGTTATGTGTTATCTTTGTGGCCTTAATCCAAAGTTGCTCTCCCCCCTGCTCCCAGGGCATTTTGTGAACTTATAAGAGCAAATGTCAACACATTATAATAAATCAGGACTCTCTACCATTAGTCAAGGATGGGAAATTAAACTTTTTGTCTTTGTATCCCTCCTAGTGTCTGCCAGGCAGCCAGTCAAGTCTTCAACCTCATTTACTGCATGGGAAGTCCCTCAGAGTACTATTAGTCAGTCATCCCATGTTCTCCTACCTTGCCTCTAACAAAAGTTCTACTGTTCTGGTTATTTCCATTTTACAAGTGATTTGTTTCCTTTTCTTTACAGGCAGCATAATTCGTTGTATGAGGCGCCTGGAAGAACTGCTTCGACAGATGTGTCAAGCAGCAAAAGCCATTGGAAACACTGAGCTGGAAAACAAATTTGCAGAAGGTCAGTATCCAGTCGAAGCTTTTTCTAATAATTAAGGCAGATCTTTTGAGACTTGAATTCTTGGCCACAGCGTAGGAAGACATTTTCAGATGCTCTTCACTGGAATGCCACGGAGGGCCATCCAGTAGTATTTAAACAAAATTTTAGAGTGTCTCTGTGGGAAAAAGTTTCGAGATTTTAGATGTAATCATTTATAAATATTTATTGTGTACTATGTGCAGGCATGGTTTTAAGCACCAGGGGATACAGCAGTGAACAAAAAACCCACAAATCCCTGCCTTCATGGAGCTTACATTCTAGTGTAGGGAGACATGCAATAAACAAGTCAACAATTAAAGTATTTCAGGTGGTGATAAGTCTACAGGAAAGAAAGGAAGAGACAACAGGAATTGAGGGACAGATGAGATGGCCTAGGGCCCCCACTCGAAAGGTGGTATCGAGGCCCTTCATGTATGCTTGATAGACGTAAGCAAGAGTACAAGACCAGTGAGTAGAACAGTAGGAAGGAGAAAAGAGATGATCATGTTACCCCCCAGCTCCCAGCTTTTTCCTGAAATGATTGGAGATTTTGACCCCAGGAGTGCGGTGCTCTGGCAGTTCTTGCTGTTGCATTGTAGGGAAGTCTGTAGATCAGCAAGGTGGAAGTAGGAAGACCAAAAAAGAAAGGATGGCCAGTCCAAGGTGGTAGTAATGGAGGCGGGCAGGGGGTCGGAGGGAGTATATAACATGCTTACAGTTTGTTCCGTCTGAGTATTTGCCAAGAAAAAGGGCTGTGAGTTAACACATCAAAGAATAGCGGCCACCTTGTCGCTCTGTTAGTTGCTCATGTAGTCACAACCCCTAATGATTTCTGCTAAACAGTGTCCTAAGAAGAGGTGTGCAAAAACTGGGTACTGTTTCCATATGGTTGATGGGGCAGACCTATTTAATCAACCAGAGTTTACTAAATAATGAAATTTGTTTGTCCTCCCTTAGTCCAGAAAGAATCTCAAGTGGTAAGTGAAAATAAAGTGTCTCCTGAAGTAGGCTGAGAATTCATGCTTTTGGGTCAACTAACTACTACTTTTGACGGTTTAGTCCTTCCCTTAGTGGGTCTTTGTGCATAGTCAGAGACCCTGTCACGGCTCTGCACACACACAGGAACCGGGATACTTCTGAGTCCAGAGTCATAGGAGCAGGAGTCTGGTTTCTAAGTTACCCTCCTCTCCTCTCAGAGGTGCCTGTGAACTCCTCTATCTTTTAGACCAGCAAGGTTTTGTATCATCGAGATTGTTGTATTAACCTCTTCCCCCGCCCCCCCTGCAAGGGAATCACAGTCTTTGTGGTCTTGGAAGCTTAAACCATCTTTTCTTTTCTCTTAGGAATCACCAAAATCAAGAGGGATATTGTGTTTGCTGCCAGCCTCTACTTATAAAGAGTCAGCTAAACGAATGTGGGGTTTTAAATTTTGCACCACCTGATTACAGCTGACTACAAATGCTTACAGGAGTGTTGATTTGGTTCTCCCATGTCAAGGCAGTTGTACTGAAACATTTTAATATGTATCATACTTCAATCAGGCATCATTCTAAGAAAGCATATTATTGCATACACATTTGTACATAAGCATTACATTTTTTTAATAAAAATGTATAGGTGGGCATTGTTTTAGTGAAAGGCTTGAAATTTTTTTTAATGAACTCAGCGCTATTAGAGAACCATGGTGTTAAATGTAACTATATACACACAGGTAAAGTGGGCATCCAAGAGGTATAGCAGCAGCAGTCCCTTAAAGGTTTGTACACCATGAAGAAAACTCATCCTCTGTCTTCTGGTTGCAATCCTTTTCCTTTAGAAAGCGGGCCAGTTTTATCTACCTTCAAGGTTGGTGACTGTTCCTAAAGTGATTCCCCGTCGTCGGTGTTTCGTGCAGAGTTGTATGGGAGTCCTCCTCTTTCCTTTCTTTAAAAGGAGAATTTCTCTCCTTGAAGAAATCGGATACATACACTGCCTACAGAAAACAAGTTATACTTAAATTACATCATTAAATACTTTTGTCCCATTCTAAGTTTAAAAACCATATACATAGTTGTAACAAGCAGTTGGCAAAAATAAATATCAACCCCACAACAGAGAAAGGGTACAAAAAATAAGTGACTAAGGGAAGTTTTGTTAGAAGAGATTCTTTTAAATTGAGAGTTGCTTATTTAGGTAGGTCTTGAGTAAATAGCTTTACTCTGTTAGCACTCAGGTTCTTCTGCAATTCATGCCAAAAACAAAATGAAACAAAACACTATAGCCATAGCCTTTTACAAAAGTACATACAATAAGATTTTTATAACTTTTGCAAAAAGCAACATAGTTAATAACATCAGGTGATGACCCAGTAAAAATTACTGAGCCTCATTATCTGCCTTTGGATAGTTTTCTCCCTGGGACAGGTTTTCTACTTACTTATCCTAGTGTTTATCAGTAAAAGATGTAGGCTGCCGCCCTGTATACTTACAACTAATACTGCAACCAGGGCTCCTTGAATGAGTCCAGTCAGTACATCACTCCAGTGGTGTTTGTAGTCAGAAACTCGAGAGAGGCCCACGTAAATGGACACAGCAACAAGACCAAATTGCAGTGTGGGGCGTAAGAGTCTTGCCCAGTCTCCCTTCATTCTGGCTTGAAGGTAAAGCTAACAGAGAAGACAGGAATAAAGAGTTTAACACCCCAACTGGAAACTTTATATATTTTAAGTATCACCACACCCCTAAAGGTGTGTGTTTTACATGATCAAGTCATTATATATTAATAATCATTACTATTAATAACCATTAAATAACCAGAGTATAAATTACATCTAGAATAGGCTGTAGGCAAGCATTCTTACGCTCATCAACACCTGAAACTTCATCCTTTTAAATAAGCCAAACAAAAAGTGATTGCCCCAGAGACTTGTCTTTAGAACAGTTCATTACTGTACCTGTCTAGCTAGACTGCTTTCCAAACTGTAAACAGGGCAAGGGGTTCCCCGTGTTTAGGACTTTCTCGGATTTCAAGGGCAGCCTGTCCTCTGGCAGAGTCTGTGCTACAATTCTGATTCCCAGCCAAGTTAGCCTTAGTTCCAAGTCTTGGGATAAACTGCTAGCATTCTGAGCACGGGGGTGTCCCTACCCTGGGCCAAGCTACTATGTTTTCCGCCCGGTCTGTCTAGAGACAGAGTTTAATTGATTCGGTTTACTTGAGAGTTCTCGCCTCAGGTTATTTTAAAGGGCAGTGGAGGGGCGCCTGGGTGGCTCAGATGGTTAAGCGTCTGCCTTCGGCTCGGGTCATGATCCCAGAGTCCTGGGATCGAGCCCCACATCGGGCTCCTGGCTCAGCGGGGAGCCTGCTTCTCCTTCTCCCTCTGCCTCTCTCCCTGCTCATGCTGTCTCTCTCTCTATCTCTGTGTCTCGAATGAATAAATAAAATCTTTAAAAAAAAAAAAAAAGGGCAGTGGAGACTAAATAATCTGTATTTTAAGTAAATCTAATACTCTGCCTAAACAATACAGGTTCTACTTGAGTCCTGATCCAACAGTGAATTAGTCTTTGAGTAGCACGTGTGCCCTTTAAGTTCCATGACTTTTCCCTACACTCCTCAGACTTGAGAATATCTCCTTTTGTGTGTCAGCCTGCCCGACTTGGGTGCATCCCTAAAGACTGTGATATAGAAGGGTTTCGATAGTTTTCCTATCACTTCCTTTCAGCAACAATTTTTGCCTTATTTCTGTCTAATAAGAATATGCTTTTAAAATCTATTTTAAAAGTTCTGTTTGATAATTTGTGACTCATACACTTAATTAAATGCATTCCTCAGAAAACAATTTATGTGGCTGTGCCCATAGACACTGCCTACTTGAAACAGATCCATTCCCAGTTCCTTGCGCACTGTGAGCGAGCATTTAGTTCTCAGCGGCTGGCAAAAACTCAGAGACTGTCTGTCTAATTTTATCGAGTATTTTTACAGTAGAAACATCTAATTGTAAAAGAGCATACCAGTTGTTAAATTGAATTGCACTCATTAGCTGGTTAAAGTACTCCTGGCTTTCTGCAGACCCCCTCCTTTCCTTTTTTCTTTGTTGTTGAAGCTATAAAAATGTAAACAGTAAGAGGCTTGTCTCAAGATTCTGGAGTTGGGAAGATAGCTGGTTCTGGTTGAAGCAAAGTTTGCATCTGGCAACTGAATCCAGTTAGGTAACACAACCATGCCAGTAATATTCCCCTCACTAGTTTTGTCTTCATTGGAAATGTTTTACTCATTTCAAGGAGAATAGTACCTTGACTGGGGCTGAAGCCAAGTTTTGGATGTTACTCCCCAAAAGTTCAGCTGTCCCTCTTTTGATTATTTGACTGCCTTTTCATATAACTGTTAAAGGCATGGGTTCTTCAGACTATAAAAATATATACCTCTGAATTATAAATACTTATAGGAATGCACCGTAGGGAGCACTGCACCTACCTCTGTTAAGGACATAGCAAGAAAAAAACAATACCAACTCTAAAATGGATTTACGCTTAGTCCTAGTTTGTGCTTCCAACCCAAAGAAAACTCAGGACTTTGAAGGTCCTTCCTCACTTAGGCTTCTAAAATCCTAACGGTATTTTCCTTCCAAAAAAGACCCTCACTTTAACTCTAGGTAGCTTGCCCCTAATTAATATTCACTTACGGATTAGTACTCAAACTTCTATGTACTTTAGGTGACCTTCAACCCTCAAAGTAGCTAGTTTCTCCTTACACATCTACCCAAGTATAGATGTTACCCCCTTCTCTGGTGACCCAGAGATGATTTCACCCTGAGGGGGGTACTAGGAAGCCCCCCACTGTGGTTCTACACCTAACCTTACCCTCCCCTCCAGGCTCTGGCTCTGATAACTAACGGCCGTGGCGTGTATGCAGGCTGCCGTCACAGAACAGTTCTCAGCTCGGGGTGAGGCTGGCTAAGTGAGTGTACTTCCTTTTCGCCTGCTGTTTCCTTAGTGTAGCTCTGGGAAGGCCGGGCATCACCTAGCTACAGCCCTGTTCACAGCTGCGAGGACGCCTCCATTTCAGTAGACCCTACGGAGATAAACACACTGAGTTTCTTGGCCCTTGGACCACTTGAGTTCCACAGCTGACATGCCCACAACTCCAGACGGGGACAACTGTCCTCCCATGCTGCCAGCCAGAAGTCTTTCTTACGTCAGCGGCTTCAACAGAGCAGACAGTGTTAAGCTTTTCTTGGGTCCTGCAGTGCAGATCTTCTAATATCTCACCCTCTGGAGGCACTAGAGATTTGACTTCCTCTACCGCTCATTTATAACTGCTTCCCAAAATCATTACCTCTTGCCTGTTGTCTCCTTTTCCATTTTTTGACTTTGTGGGTTTATCATTTTTTATTCTATTCCTTGTCCTTTTAGAGGAAAGAAGACAGTCTATGTAGCTTTAAACACAAGACTGTTGAGGGAAGTACATGTTCGTAACTGCCTCAGAGAAGCAGTGTTGGAAGCTCTCACCACTGTTCTACGCGTACTAGATTTAGGGACAGAGCTGCTTTAATGCTAAAGCTTATAATAAAAGGCTCTGTAAGGCCCTGCCTTTGCAGACTCCCCTCTCCCCACACGTGTGTTTGCTAATCACGTACGCACCAAGCACATTCAAGTAAGGAAGTCCACTGCTTATCTCTTAAAACTCAGAACTGAGGAACTCTACATCCAGCGTTGTGCACAGTATGGGAGAGACTCAGTGGCAGTGTCAACGACTTACAAATTCCCCTCCTGGGCGGAACCGTCCCTCCACAGACACAGTGAAGGGGGAGACCCGTCCGAACCACACCACTCTGCCTTCTCTTCAGAGAGGGCACTGAAGATGACCTCTGACAGGCCCGAACCCGAGATCTGCTGGGCCGTATTCTCCCTCTGGAATTTGCAGAAGGATGAACGGGTTCTCTTTTTTCAGAAGGTCTAGAAAGAGCACCTAAAGGATACAGGATAGGCTACTTGCAAACTAAACTTAGGAGAAAGCAAAAGTTATGGTGAGGCAAGGACAGCAAGCCCTGAGGAGAGAGCAAAGAATGGGGCAGAGTGGCAGCCACACCAGGAAGCCAGGCGGCCCGTGAGACAGGTGGAGCAAGTTCAGTTCCTGGTGGTATGCTAGTTCTAGCTCATCGAGGTCTTTACTATAAACCATTTTGGGGGCACCTGGGTGGCTCAGGTCACGATTTCAGGGTCCCGGGATTGAACCCCACATTGGGCTCCCTGCTCAGCAGGGAGTCTGCTTGTCTCCCTCTCCCTCTGCCCCTCCCCCTGCTCACGTGCACACACTTTCTCTTTCTCTAAATAAGTAAATAAATCTTTAAAAAAAATTTTTTTTTCCCCTCTGGGAGATCTAAGTCAGTTGCTTACAACCAAAAGATAAAATCCCAATTACCAGCCACCTCTGTGTTCAATTAAAATCCCATTTTGTTCTTAATTTGGATTTCTGTGACTTGAATGATGAGGAGTTTTACTTTTAAAAAAAAAGTAAGTTTCAATCGAGAAGGAAAATAGTATTTATACACTGGGGTTCACACCGTGAGGGAAAAAAAAATTAAATCCCATGAGAACAAACACATTAAATGTCCACTGAAGGCCCTGTTACAAGCGCGGTCTGGCATTGGATATGGGATTTACTTCCATGACTTCTTTCTACGTACAGTACAAGGTGTGAACCCCTACCCTAAGCCAAAAATGGTTCATCTACCCATCTCTATTGCTGCTCTCAGGCCCATTTTAATATTCTTTTCTGAGCATGCTTCAGTTTGGCCTCAACTGACCTGCCCCATGGGGATTTTGGTCCACTAGTGGGGGACAAGAGTACTGCCTAGTGACAAATTCTAGTGTCTGGATCCCTCCTGATCCTAACATCCAACCTTCTGGTGAAAGCAGCTCCGAAGCAGAAAGTTCCCAACTAGAAATAAGAGAAAGGGTAGACAAGGCAGAATGGACCAACCTGCAGCTGGTCACTGAGGTACTCCCTGGAGGCAAAGAAAACAGGTCTGTGAAAAGAACAACTGAGCCTATCACTAGTGTCATCCCTGCTGTCACAGGAAAAGGCAAGAGGCATGTGGGGTTCCAGGAGGCACAAACTGAGAATAAAGTTAGCAGGAAAAACAAAGATACATCATGTACTTCACCAACCTTTACACTGCTCCCTGCCCACTTTTTCATCTGTTCAAAAGGCAGGATAGACATCTACCACAGGAGAACTTAGGAGAGGAAATGAACCTCAAGGCCTCAAAAGGAAACCACAGTGAGGCCTATCTCGATTTCTCGCTGTCTCTCCAGCAAAGGAACTATTATTTTCCTGACCAGATGGTGTATCAGAGCAAGAGCTCAGGGCAAATCAGATACAACCAATGATTGTGCATAACCCAGATTTAGAAAGCAAAAAATAGTTTGATAATTAGCCTTAGGGATAATCCACCAATATCCTCCAGGAATGTCCTCACTAAAACCAGGCATCACTACTGGCCCTTGTGAAAAGGAAGGTTCCAGATGTGGTTTTTCCTTCCAACAAGAGCAAACTAAGCAAGGATAGGCCCTGAGCCACTCTTCCACATAGGGCTTCTGGTCAGGAAACTCTTAACTGCTTAGTGTAGGGTCAAGTGTTCAGTCTCTTAAAGTGTCCAGTCTCTTA